GCAGAGAGAGAGGAAGCACAGAATCTGAAGCGGACCCTAGGCTCTGAGCTGTCAGCACAGAGCCCAACGCGGGGCTCAAACTCAGGACTGCAAGAGCATGACCTGAGTTGAAGTCAGGCACTTAACTAACTGAGCCACTCAGGCACCCCTTCTCAGCCCATTTTTTTTTTTAATTTTTTTTTTCAACGTTTATTTATTTTTGGGACAGAGAGAGACAGAGCATGAACGGGGGAGGGGCAGAGAGAGAGGGAGACACAGAATCGGAAACAGGCTCCAGGCTCCGAGCCATCAGCCCAGAGCCTGACGCGGGGCTCGAACTCACAGACTGCGAGATCGTGACCTGGCTGAAGTCGGACGCTTAACTGACTGCGCCACCCAGGCGCCCTCTCAGCCCATTTTTAAATCAGATTGTTATTTTGCTGTTAAATTGTATGAGTTCTTTAAATATTGAGTATATGATTTCTAAATATTTTCTCCTATCCCATAGATTGCCTATACTTTTTTTGATGGATTTCTATGCAGAAGCTTTTTATTTTGATATAGTCCCACTTATTTATTGCTTTTGTTGCCTTTGCTTCTAGCAAAGGCAAAATCTTGTCAAGACTGTTTTAAGGAACTTATTCCTTATGTTTTCTTTTAAGATTTATAGTTTCAAGCTTTATGTTCAAGTCTTTATTTTGAGTTGATTTTTGTGTGTGATGTGAGATAATGATACAGTTTCATTCTTTCACATGTGACTGTCCAGTTTTCCCATCATCATTTATTAAACAGACTATCATCTCCCGTGTGTATTCTTGGCTGTTTTGTCATAAATTAATTTACTGCATGTGTGGGTTTATTTCTGTGTTCTCTGTTCTGTTGATCTGTGTGTCTGTTTTTATGCCAATGCCATACTCTTTTGATTACTATAGCTTGGTAATATAATTTGAAATCAGGAAGTGTGATACCTCCAACTTTGTTTTTCTTTTCCAAGATTGCTTTGGCTTTGGAGTCTTCTGTGGTTCCATACAAAGTTTAGGATTGTTTTTTTTCTATTTCTGTGAAAAATGCCAGTGGAATTTTGATAGAGGGTCACTTTGAATCTTTATTTATTTATTTATTTATTTATTTATTTATTTATTTAATATAATTTATTGTTAGCTAACGTACAGTGTATACAGTGTGCTCTTGGCTTCAGGAGTAGATTCCCGTGATTCATCACTTACATACAGCACCTAGTGCTCATCCCAATTTATGGACATTTTAACAGTATTATTTCTGCCAATCTATGAGCATAAAATATCTTCCCATTTATTTTGTGTCTTTTTCAGTTTCTTTCATCAGTATCTTGTAGTTTTTAGTGTACAGGTACATCTTTCATCTCCTTGGATAAATTTATTCCTAGGTATTGTGTTCTTTTTGAAACAACTGTAAATGGAATTAAAAAAAAAATTCTTTTCTGATACTTTGTTGTTACTATGTAGAAATGGAACTGATTTCCTATATTGATTTGCATTCTGCAATTTTACTGAACTCGCTTTTTTTATGTTTGTTTATTTTTGAGAGAGAGACAGAGAGAGCATGAGCAGGGGAGGGGCAGAGAGAGAGGGAGACACAGGATCCAAAGCAGTCTTCAGGCTCTGAGCTGTCAGCACAGAGCCCAAATGGGGCTTGAACTCAGGAACTGTGAGATCATGACCTGAACCGAAGTTGGATGCTTAATCTCAGTCTGAGCCACCCATGTGCCCCCAAATTCACTTATTCTAACAGTTTTTTGGTGGATTCTTTCAGTTTTTTATCTATATAATATCATCATCTGGAAGTAGAGATAGTTTTACTTCTCTTCCAATTTAGATGCCTTTTATTTCTTTTCTTTCTCTGGCTGGGATTTCCAAAACTATATTAAATAAAAGTGGTAAGAGTCAGATCCATGTCTTGTTCCTTATCTTAGAGAAGAAGCTTTCGGCTTTTCATTATTGAATATACTGTTAGCTGTGGGTTTGTCATATATGGCCTTTATTGTGTTGGCTAATGTTCTTTCTGTACTCAGTTTCTTGAGAGTTTTTGTCATGAATGGATGTTGAATTTTGTCAAATGCTTTTTTTACATCTACTGAGATGATCCTATGATTTTTATCCTTTGTTTTGTTAATGTGTTGTATTACATTGATTTGCAGATATTGAACCACCCTTAAATCCCTGGAGTAGATCCCAATCTATCATGCTGTATGATGCTTTTAATGTATTGTTAAATTTGGCTTGCTCATACTTTGTTGAGAATTTTTGCACCTGTGTTTATTAGAGATATTGACCTGTAATTTTCTTGTGGTGTCTTTGTCTGGCTTTGGTATCAAGGTAATGCTGGCCTGGTAAAATGAGTTTGGAAGTGTTCCCTCCTCTTCTATTTTTTTGTAACATTTTGAGAAGAGTTAGTATTAATTTTTCTTTAAGTTTTGGTGACTTCACCAGTGAAGCCATCTGGTCCTGATCTTTCGTTTTTTGGGAGATTTCTTTGTTGTTGTCATTGTTTTGCTTTGTTTTGTTTTATTAGAGACAGAAAGACTGGGGAAAGGACAGAGGGAGAGAGAATATTAATTAGGCTCATGCCCACTGGGACCCAGTCTCACGACCATGAGATCATGACCTGAGCTGAGATCATGACCTGAGCTGAAATCAAGAGTCAGATGCTTAACTGACTGAGCCACCCAGGCACCCGGGAGGTTTTTGATTACTGACTGGTTATTTGTCTGTTCAGATTTTCTATTCATGATTCAGTCCTGGTAGCTAGTATGTTTCTAGGACTTTATCTGTGTCTTCTAGGTTGTCCCATTTGTTAGCACATAATTGTTCCTGTTAATCTTATATGATCCTTTGTATCTGTTATATCTGTTGTAATGTCTCCTTTTTCATATCTAATTTTATTTATTTGAGTCCTTTCTCTTTTTTCTGGGTGGGTGGCACCTATTCTCTTCCACGTAGGTATGGACATTGAAGCTGACTCCATCTCCACCTTCACTCTGATGGCTTCTGATTAATCTGAGTGAATTATGGCAATCCCATTCCCCTGAGATGGGTTCAGGACTAGATATGTACCTAGTTCTGTCAGTGCTATCCTTGGGACTATGTGCTGAGCAATTTGAGGTCTGAGATCTGAGAAAGATCACCTCTCTTCTAAAAAACATATATATAGGTAAAGATAAAGGAAAAGACGGTATTCTGACTCCTGAAACCACGACACTGGGAAATTTTTAATTGATTTTATGTTACAGTAAATACTAGATATTACCATTTAATTTATAATGCAGTGACTGATTAAATATACATCTTTAATGAGGGGAGGACATTGGTTAAATAATTTAAAAACTGTCAGTAGAGAATATATTTGGAAACCGCAGGATATCCAACTATCAATGTCTTGCTGTTGTACTTTTTAACCTAGCAGATTTGTTTCAGGCTTCAGGAAGTTTGGACATAGCTACTTAGTGATGTTTCAGTTACCCTGATATGTTCTATTTGTCTGCTTCTCCATCCTTAGCTTTCATTGTCACGCTTGTTGCTTCATGGTTACAAAATGGCTGCAGCGCATCCAAGGAGGAGGAAGGAGAAAGGCCAGTGGACAAAAAGGGCATGCCAGTTGAGTGGGCCTGCTTTTATCAGGAAAACCAAAGGTTTCCTGGAAACCCCTCTCTGAAACCTGGGGTGTTGTGTTTTATTTGCTGCTAAGTGCAGTGTATCAACTTTATCTTCCCTTCTCAAATTTAGTTTCAAATATGTTAGTTCAGTAACTTGTTTATTTTTTGCTTATGCTTTATCAACTAAATGTTAGACTCACTAGGTAAGACATTTAGTTTTCTTTTTCTAAAATTTGGGCTTCTGAGCTATAAATATGTAAATTTGTGCTAAGTTCATGCAAATTTTAATTTGAACCAGGCATTGTGGAAATTTTTAAATGAGTTTTGTTTTTCTTATGTAAAGTTTTTCTGTCTTAGGAAGAACAGAAAACCTATTGAACATTTGAACTGAACTCCATTATAAGAATTACAATACAAAATACCTCCTCTCAGGGTCCCTTTTGATAACAGAGACTCACAGTCCATTAAAAGAAAAAATGAGCAGTGTTTAAATTTAATATCTGATATTGCATTCAGGATTTAGCTGAGACTTAGCTGTTCTTAAATTATGTACTCAACTATTTTTTTTTTTTTACATCATCCACCTCCCCCCACCTGTATCCTGTTCAGAGACATATTTATTCTGGGTTACTGAGATAGATCATTGAGGTAAAAATTAACAGGATAATTTAAGGCTGAAAGAAAATATGGTTCGAAATGAATTGCTGCAGGTAGCAATGCGCGCTATAGACAAGGTAGAGCTGAACTTTAGAAGGAGTTAGGGACACATGGTGCAGTGGGGCAGTGAGTGGCCGCTGGGTAGTTGAGACAGGGTGAAATGCAGTTTTAAGTCTCTCTTCAGTGTTAGGGATTAGGCCTAGATTCACGGTGCACCTCAATTTAGGATTCTGGATCTAGGGTGGATGTGGAAGAATAGTTCTGAGCTAAATGCTAGTGTAAGTTCATCTCAGTCATTGGAGAAACTAAATGATGTCTTATATTTGTTGTACCCACCATATTCTCACCTGTTGTGACTAGAGGAGCCACTCGTCATAGGGGAGTAGGTAAAATGTGTATGCTTCCAGACTGGAAAGAAAGAACTAAGTAAATAAGCTATTGCACTAATATTTTTCACTCTCCCATTTTTATGGTACATGACAGCATCTCTCCGAGAATATGACTTTTATCTTTCCTAATCTTATTATGCAGGAGGAGAGGAGTGGAAAACCAGGCTATTTTATTTCTGTGTCTCTCAATTAGGGAAGGAGGAAACTCATGAGTGAATCTAACAGTTATGTTGCCACAGATTTTTTAATCCAGTTTTTTTTTTTAAGTTATTTACAGTTATTGTGGACGGTACTGCATGTTGAGGCTAATTGGAAACAGTGACCAGATTCTTAATCATTGTCAGGAAACTGCATTCAGAGAATGAGAAGAACACCCCCACTGGATGAATTGCAGCCACCACCATATCAGGATGACAGTGGTTCTCCCCATCTCTCATGTACGCCCTCAGAAATTGGGGACAGTAAATGTGAATTTTCCCACTGCAGCAACAGTCCACGATGCTCATATAACAAGTGCCCAAGTGAAGGAAGCACAGGTCACGAAATAGAAAGTTTTCATAATAAAGGATATGAAGAAGACGTTCCAAGTGACAGCACTGCAGTCCTGAGCCCAGAAGTAAGTAAAAAAGCACATAGAGTTTTTTAAATGGACGTTATTGGAGGATAATAATCCTGTGCTTCTCCTCTTGGTAAGACGGTTTCATCACTATCCTTGTCCTCTGTGGCTTAAGGTACCCGTGTTCTCCTTGATCTAATCTTGATCCAGCAGACATGTCAGGACTGTCTCGACCATCCTTCACCCACCCCACCCCCTTTTCCCCAAAAGGAGGATGCGTAGCTAAAAATGAGAGCAATGCACAAGATACTGAAAAAATGTCTTCCCCAGGTTTCCACCTCAAGATAGGTCTTTTTTATTTTAACATTGTATACCAAACATTCTGGAATTACCTGTTTCTTCCATCTTGAGGCTCCTATTATGTGTTTTTTATTTTTAAACTTCTTTTAGTTTGGATATTTTTTACTTCTGGGAGGTTGCTCACTGATGTTTTATAGGTTTTTCAAAAATGATGTTTTTGCGTTTTTATGTGATGGAATATGGAAGGGAAGAGTGATGCTCAGCTTTATTAACATTTGGATTCATGGCATCACTCAGAGTTGTTGGTTGTGGTTTAAGTTATTTCCTATTTTGAAGCAAAAAAGTGAAAATGACAACAAAAATACATGTGTTGAACTTTTGAAGTCTTTCCATGTTCTTAAAAGGATTTGTTTTAATCTTTCAACAATGATGAACACTGTAATAGTAATTTGAGCTTTTCATTAGGTACCATGTACTTTTAGGACTTACTTTCTTTTAGACTGCAGCTTTTTACAACTTTTGTCCCAAACAGCATTTCATAGTAGTACTCTAGTTATGTCAGTGTTCTCACTAGGTGAAATCCATATACTGCCAAAATTAAATAATGGAAGTAGAGCCATGAACAGAATTCCCACAATTTTAAGTTTTTCTTACATAATTTCTAAAAACACGTGTTGTCTGTCACTATGTTTCTACTATTTCTAGTATTCTAATATAGTATCTAATTTAGAAGAAAATTCCACATTGGAATTTTAAATTTAACACGTCCGTATTTCATGGTTTTCCACAAAGACTATTTCTTTGTGCTCTGTGCATGAACGAATTTGAGACCACTGTTTTGTAGGTTTACACACTGGATAGATAGCCAACAAGTTAATGGAGGAGCCTGGATTGTGGAGTTAACAATAACAATAGCAGTCAACAGTTGTGCCAGAAATTTTGCTATAAGCTTTATAGTCAGCTCAGTTAATTTTAGCAACCTCATCTTCAGGAAGTTATTTCCATTTTACAAATGAAAATATTAAGACTCAGAGAGTTAAGCAGTTTGCCCACATACAAGCACCTATTAGATGGTAGAACTGTAATGCAAACGCAGGTCTGTCTGACTGCAAAAGCAGTGCTCTTAACAGCTATATTCTGTTGCCCTTCTTGACCTAAATCGTTGTGTGGGAAATTACTTTGATCATTGGCATGGTACCCTCCCTTGCCCGGTACCCTACCAGGCAAGCTGTTTCAGAGAACTCATGGACCAAATTCGGATGCTCAGATCACGTGTGTGTGTGTGTGTGT